AAAGAATAAACCAGCATATAGCAGTAGTATAGTGCCACATCGAAACAGTTTCAGGAATATGCGAGGAGAGATAAAAAATGAATTAAGTATTTCTTCTTTGACCTGCTTTTTGAAAAGTTTCAAGTTACATTCGATGAATTAAAGTAAATTTAATAAAAAGTATATATGTAGAGCAGGGCGAAGCACAAAGGTCCAATTTGACTTTGAGCAAATATAAACTATATTGTGAAAACCATAACAATTATATCACGACAAATAAGACATATCAAACGAACAATTATCTGACTACGTTCAGTAAACTGACTTCCACTTCATCATTGTAGAAATGTGCTTTTTTGAAGTCTTCCAAAAATTTGTTATCTAGACCTTTTTATCCTATATGCGGGGTAACTTGTAACGGCAGGTGGCAAAAGGTTTAAAGCCTTATTATAATTTTAAAGGTATTTTACAAAATAATTACATTTTTAACTAACTAACTAACTAACTAAAACTACCAACGGAAGAAAATACTTTTATTATGGATTTTCAAAGATTACCGTTTATCTCCCCCATTTCAAAGATTATCGTTTTTAAATCAAGTTTGTAGCTGGCTATACATCTTTTATCCTCTACTTTCAAATATTGTTAAAAAACAATGCTTAACTTTACTGATTTTTGACACATCGGTGGTGGACCTTTTTAATCCCGGACCTTTATATCACTATCTATTCTGCGATAAATTCTGGGAAATTATAACTGGAAAAATGTTATTCGACAAAATGCCCATTTGATGGATACCAAATTTAGGTTCTGAATTTAAATAAAATAAATAAAAAATAATATAACCTAGAAAATGTTTTATAAATACCAATGAGTATATAATTATACAAATGAGATCTTTCAGAGCACCGTGTTTGAGAAAAATATGGCAAAAAGTGCTTTTTCATATTAACATATCAAAAAAGTTTATATTTTGAGTCTCTAGTAACACTTGCGGCCCGTTTACTAACGTTTTTGTATATAAATAAAACTACAAACAAAACTACTTATTACAAATTTATCATAAATAAATAATATTCGCGTAAAACATCCTATTAAACGTAATTGAACATCATCTGTCAAAAGCGTTTGACATTTCACGAAATTGCCACCGTCCATTGTTTTATTTAAATTACGCTTCTACAAAAATTTTCAAATTAAAAATGTAAAGTTAATTGTAAATAATTTCTCACCTTTTGGACTTTCTCTGGATTGGCACGAATTTTTCAAGACTAAGACTGGCCAAATCGATTCAGCTGTTTTCGAGTTTTATTCGGACATTTGAAAGAGAGCTCCATTTTTATATATAAGATATGAACAATCTTAGTATTAATAAAAAATCTTATTAATCATAAAATTCATGTTACATAAATTTCATAATGAAATATGTTTGCAGAACCTCATAATTCTGCTCAAAGTTAACATCGGATTTGGCTAGAAGTTGTCCTCAATTGACTCAATTGAAATAAAATTTACATGAAAACTAAACACTCCATTGCTTTTCTTAAATTTTAATTTCACCTTCAAAATGACTTGGATGGCGCTTTTCCAAGAATTAGAGATACGGCAAGAGAAATTGAAAATTCAGATATTTTCTTGCGCGGAATAATTGAATACGTTTCACATGCACACCGAGCAGCGTGTCAACCCAACCATGCTCGCTTTATTGCTTTTTTCTTGTTTCAAACAATACTACTGTATTTTTTGTGTGTTTTCTTTATTCTTTCATTTGCCAAAGAGATATTTAACGATCGGCAGTAATGAAACAATAAATGGTATCGAATATAGGAAGGCAATCGTAGGGCTCAAAAATCGTTTAATCATGCGTAGTTACGAGAAAAAATCATTCGAAGGGAAAATCAAATCGATTATTTTATTAGGATTGTTATAAAAATAATACTTCAAATAAATTACTAAGTATTAAATGTTTACTTTGATACATAAAAAAATGTATATGTTTTATGAACACCAAACAAATTGAGTATCTATTGACAAAAAATAATAATAATGCCATATAACATAATAATAACAATGCCATGTAGCATATAATAATTACAATCATTACATATTATTACTCTGCATTAAAACAATAATAATAATGATGCAGACTACCAATCGTCAATGTAATTATTAAGCTGGTTATCAAAAAAAATCTGTATAAAACAATTACCGTTTCGTTGGTGGGGTCGATAGGGGATTTTCAATTATTCAATTTAAACGATATTAAAATATGTTTTTGTCTCAATTCGGCATGTAAACCGTCCTGCATAATATTGCCATAGCAACTGTCCCGTAAACTGTAATATACAGAAATGTGCAGGTCCGTCACTTTTGGCATGTAATATACAACTACACTATCATCAAATTACGGTTTGGGTTATTATTATCGACTTCTTATGTAATATGACTTAATTTGCTTCAAGTTTATCAATATTTGATAATGTGTAACATTTTTTATGATTGCTAATTTTTGTAAATAGTTATCTTAATTAACGTAAAAAAACACTCCTGGGGTTATTTGAAACCTACAAGAATTGAATTATATACAGATTCAAGTAAAGAAGATTGGGCTCATGTAAATTGTTTTACAAGAGGCATTATTTCTTTTATTTGCATTAATTGCAGTTTACTTTGTTTTATGATAAGAATTTATATGACATGATACACCAAATTTTTTATGTTTTATTTATTATGAAAAGAGTTACTTAGACAAAGAATAAATAAAGGTCGTTTTTTGTCGTTACTACTTGCTCCGGTAGATGTTACAACTAGCCCTAGACAGGGGATAAGTTGTAACACCCGACTTTTTTTTAGAAAATAATTTTGAAATAATGAACAATAGTTATATAATTATTTGTATTGTATTCGGTGTAGGAAGAGTTATTGCATCTATTCATCTTTATTTCACAGAAATATAATTAGTGGATTTCAAGATATATTAATATAAAACAATGGTACAACAAATGCCGACTAGTAGTCAGGCTCCCTACTAGTCTGCTAATTATGAAGAAATGACTAGTCCGATCGTCGCGCTAAACTGATCATTTTTTTCCAGTTTAATCAAATGACTTAAATTTTTGGAACCCTTGCAGGCTTATTTCAGAAAACGTTAATATAAAGTCAAATTTTGGCTGTAATACACACATATACATTTTCTAATTTTTGTGTCAAACGATTCAAAATGTTTTAAACCGCCAAAAACAAAATTTAATTTTATGGTGAAAACATAAATTTTCTTACAGTTTTAATAAAAACTATCGAACTTTTATATTACGTATGATAATAATTTCACAAATTCAAATTTTTGAAAAAGGTCAATTTTTTCCAAAATTTCAAAATTCTCAGAAATCTAATTTTTTCAAAGTTTTCAAAAAATTCCAAAGCTTTTTAAAAATTCTAAATTTTCGATTCTGGAAGTTCCAGCAATTTGTTTTAAGGCACGATGCCATGCACCACTAGTTATATGCAGTTTTTCAGATAAGCACAATATCAAAACGACTTAAGTCTGCCACGTTCGTGGGCGATATTTATTTTGGCAGAATGCCACGCACCACGAATGCCTCGAAATATCATGCTGAATACGAATATCAGGCCAGATCAGCGGACTGTCGCACCCTAGTCTTCCCTAGACGACAAGTTTATAAGATGTAAACATGAAAATATCTTCATCCAGATAATAGTAGTAGATAACTACTATGTGATATAATGCCGAATTCGGGACAAGGCTATACTTACTATAAGGCCATTCAGTCTTGTTCGATGCGTCTGAAGGCACGTGCTCGCTTGTACTGCGCAGTGTTTTCATATCGAATATGATTGTTTTGGCTCTGTTTTCACAATTCTGTGATATTTATGTATGTTTATTGAATTAATAGATGATTGGTACAAATTACAATATATTTTTGAATTTAATACGAATAGAAGATTTATTTTATCAAATAATTATAATAACGTTATCTAATAGATGTTCAAGCGTATTGTTTTATCAGACATCATCAAGATCATTTTGAAACCTGAAAATTCATCAATGTTTGATAATATGAATATCAATTCAAAGAATTTATAAAAAAACATTCACTTTATTAATTATACATTCAAATTTATACCGTATTCATATGAAAATATCAAAATGAAACTGCAATAATTACTATTTTTGTATTATTTTCATTAAATTTCAACTAATGGTTTTAATTTTTTTTTCAGATACTGAAAAACAACTATAAACATGGCGAAAATATTGAAGCAAATTAATGGTAACAAATGCCGATGCAAGGAAAGCCGATACAAAGCAAAATTTTCAAATTATCAATCGAATGTGGAATGTAAAACACGCTGGCTAAAATAAAGCTAATCAAAATATGCAATACAAGAATTTACACGAATAAAATAAATATCATGTGAACACTGACGTCATATCAAAGATAAAATTTAAATGTAAAAATACGTTAAGTTGATCATTCAAGTTGATGTTTGTACACGAAAAAAACATATATTGTTCTCACTGTGCAAAAATCTAAAAACTAAAGGCATTTGAAAAAGTAAAATAAACTCAAGTGAATTTCAATCACCGATATTAAGTGTTGACTGTATATGTGCAAATGCGAATTAAGACTACTTGTCTTCACCGTAAGCGCAGACAATCTGCTGCAACGAAAAGGATTTTATTTTGATAAAGATTTGTTATTTTAAACACATCGTTATATCGTATGTAAAAGCATTGCACTACTATAAAATGATTGAAAAAAAATTCATATAAAAAGGTCACCATAGAATAATATGTTTAAAGTTAATTGTTTCCGACGAACAACAAACAATAAGAGTGAAAGTATACTAAGAAAACGTTCTTGAAATATAACAGGCGTTAAGACGCAGAATAAACAGATTAATATTTGCTAGAGACTTAAATAGGTTAACAAGTGCCGATCGAATTTTTCAACAAATCTTTCCTGGTGTCAAATAGTTGTCAGTGTTGGTGATATGTGATGGTTGTGATGCTGTCTCAGGCGGCGGATGCACGACTAACTTCGCCACGTGAAGCTAACAACAGTCGGGAACCGAAGTTAGAGCAAGTAGATGCTTCAGCGCTAGCAGGCGCGGCGATATTATGTGAAAACTTAAAACCGAAAGCGTTTGTGGAGCCGCTTCGCAAAGAAGTCGACAATAGCGACGTTCCAATCCTAAACAATATCAAGCAATACTTGCACGACCGCAGAACTTCCTTTATTGTTGCCGCTCCTCAGCACAGAACTATATTCAACGATCTGCACGACTCGCCCAAGTGCAAAGGACCGAAGCTGATTAACTGCCGCCCGATGCCTCTAAGCAATCATCGCGTTAATAATAACAACAATATAAACAATAATAACAATTATAGTATTACGACAAGCAACGCGGAAGGACTGCTGAACTCTTGCGATTACAAAGCGATGCGCTACTACCGGATATGGATCTACACGTGTAACGCCGTGCTTATGTTTGCAGTTCTGGCGTTCTGCATAGCGGCCGGAAAACTGCTCGTCAACGACTACAGGCGCCATCTCATTCCACACTTGACGCTACATCAACCTAGTTTGGTTTATGCTTATCTTGCTCTCTTGGCTCAAAGTGGCCTCCTTCAAGCAGTGGGATGTTTAGGCGCTTTGCGCCTCAACGAACGTCTTCTGAACATATATTGGTTGTCGTTGCTATTGCTTTTACTCGGAGACGCTGTGGTTGGAATCTACTGGATCTTTCGTTTTGAAATGATTCGGGCCGAATTAAGACCAGCTCTTAGAGAGCGTATCTCTTCTACCGGAGATTATGGTACCGATACAGAGTTTACAGAATTATGGGATCGATTACAAAGGGAATACTCTTGTTGTGGTGTCGTGAGTGAACAGGATTTTCTTACGGGAAATCGATCGCGAGATGATTGGAACGCTCCAATCAGCTGCTGTGGTCGATTCACTACTCAACTAGCCGATAATGCGACTCGGGTGTGCCACGCATCTAATATGGCAGGGTGTGAAGAAAAACTCTTAAGTTGGCTGAAACAAACGGCCGATGTTTTATTTGTTTTAGGATATTGTGTGATTGCCTTTCTTAAATTGTGTTTTCTCGGAATACTAAGGTACGAAATAAAAGAAATGATACAAAAAATTAAAATTCTTCAAAGTGAACTTAATGCTGAACTGACAGCAGAACTAGGAGTCTCCACAAGTCCCAACCATGTACCGCCTCCTATGCCAGCAACCGTATCTACGGTAGTTCCCATCACAGCCGGATTAACTAATGTCAATGGCGGACCAGCGCATACTTTAGAAACAAAAATGGCAAATAGAACAGTAAGACAGGAATCGGCGGAAAGCGAGAGGGAAGCTCTATTAGCACCAGATTTAGATCCCTTGAATCAAACACCTGTGCACCCAAGTCATCTGAGTCATGAAAACTTAAAAATGCACCACAACAGACTCTTTGGAAATGAGGGTGCTGCTGAAGATTCTGACAGCAATTCACACTGCCCGCTTTTAAGTACAGAACTTCCTACCAGCACTCCTAAAAATGTAAACGGTAACAATAACCATGAAATGAGAGAATTGCAAGAGACAACAAAATTTACAGGAAGGAGAATGGTATCTGGTAGCGCAGCGACCAGAATCTGACTAAGATATTACTTGGGACAGATGTTTGGAGATAAATGGAAAATGGCTGGTGGGACATCCCGAAGACGCAGACCGGTCAGACGTAATACAGAAGCATCATGTTCAATGACGATGCCTCCGATCAAGTTTAGATCGAATTCTCAACCAGACAATATATAACATCGCACTTGTGGTGAACTCGAATTGTGCATTTTTGATTATTTCCGTAATGACCATTAAAACAAAACAGTCTAACTAGAAGCGATTTTAATAAAACACCAAAAATATTATAACATAGATAGATCTAGAGATTTATTCTAAGCGATGATATTTTAGTAGTAAATAGCTAAAAAGTTTATAGATACTATTTTTAAAACATATTGTAATAGATATGTATATTATTGGACTATTAGAGCATATTTTGACACAGTCGTAAAATAGATATTATAAAATATGTTATGAGCTTTTCAAATAATTATAGAATATTTATCATAAAGTAGGTTCTTTATTATCATTAACACAATTAATTAGCGCATATTGCTTTTGTAAATATTAAATATATGGACAATGTACTAAGAATTCACTTCCGATTCATTTAACTTATTTCGTATGGATACACATATTTACATATGCATGTTATTATAGAAATGTATTAATATTACAACATGCATTTTTTTTTAAAGTTAATGAGAATTTACTTTTATAAATATATACAAATTACATATGTAAGGCCGCACGTTAAACCTGATTTCAATATTCATGATCAAGACATATTTTCACATTTCAAATATTTTAATTCATTATATGTTGTTATTGGCAATTCATTATTGTTTTACTGTGTTCTTACTTTTAATAATACATTCAAATTATACTCTTTTTTTCTTAAATTTGTACACTGATATATTTAATATTTTCAATGGCGCATGTTATCTGAGGTGGCACTAAGTAATTATCAGGATTATATGTAAATGTATTATTTGCAAATTATATATACATATATAGGCAAACTAATATATTTTATAGACTGAAATAAATTAAGTTGTAACTTATCCATTTTTGTAATCCAGGATATGCATATAAGTAATTTTCGTCTTTCAGCAATTTGTAATAATAAAAGATCTGGATGCATTATCAAATGTAAATCATCCCGTTACGAGTTTAATCAAATTGCACGCCTTTCTTTATAAAATTATATTAACACTTTTAAATATCATAGAAAGCACAAGTTTGCAACATCTCAGACAAAAACATTTTCAAAATCATGATCGCCTTAAATTAAATTTGTTAATACCCCAACCAATACAGCTCATTTCAAGCATTTAGCAAAAAGTATCTTCCAATAATATGCAAACGAATTAAGTTTTTTGAACTCATTAGTTTAAAATTGCGCTCATAAACAACTATTTTTACCGAGATGGAACGTTCTTAAAATTTATTTCATGAAATAAACGCATCGTCAAAATTACAGGAAATTAAAATAACAAGAAAAATAGAATGTCTGTACAAATACGAAAACTACAGCTTGAGTATCTCGTTTACCTGATAGATTTTTTGCACCTTTTAAGATACATATTATGCATAAAACTTTAATTATTTATAAACTAGAATATAGCATTATGAGCTTATAAATACTAAAAACCCTGCTTAGGTAAGTTACATAGAAATTTCATAAAAATTTACTTGTAAAAATAATTCATAAGTTTTTAATAAATTTAGGATAGAATATATATTATTAAATAATTTCAAATGTTTTCTTTTATGTTACATACATTCAAACATTCAAAGTTGAACTTGTTGAATGCGGTAAACACATGCTTTATTAAAAATATGAAATAAGTATCAAAATTTTGATGGTGCTAATTTTTCAGATATTTAAACAAACAGGTTAATTTTTTTTTTTGAAAATAGTTATGAATGGATAATTAGACAAAGTTATGATTAAACTCTATGGATGTATAAAACTGTTTTTTGTGTTACTTATTATGTAAAAATATCTGAATAATTCATCAATCAATTTTAAAACAGAAAATACAGCAGATGATGCTTATTTTCTACACTTAGGGCAATAAGAACTTACTCAAAAGATGTAACTTATCAAACCTTAACTGTTTTTCAAATAAACCACCTTCGGAGTAAATTTGTGATATCAAAATCTATTCTAAATGTTAATTCGCTTTAATAATTCGAAGTTACTTATGTACAAATTTAAGAGAATACCCATAAAAAATTTCATACATATTTTGTTATTCGTTTATTCGACGTTGCAATTGACATAAATGTTACACATGCATTATTGTTGATTCTATTATTAA